ATCTGCTTCTCTGCCTCCGTGCTTTTCCTCATACTAGTTGGCTTAGTTAGAATTTTCTTTGTGTTCCTACCTGCCACATTTTATTTGTCTTTCAAAGATTAACAAACCAAAGCCTGAAGGCTAAATCTGGCCTGCTATCAGTTTTTATAAATAACATTTATTGGAAAACAGCTTCACTTGGTGGCTGCTTTTGCACTCTGATGGTAGGGTTGAGCAGTTGCAGACACCTCCAGCCTGCAAAGCCTAAAATACCCACTCTGGTTTCTACAGAAAAAGCATACTTTTATGTGTGCTGTCAGCAGCTCTGCAGTGTGCTTTTCCAGAAATCAGGGTTATAGAATTCCTGATCCTTCCTCAGGAATGGGGACAGAGGGCTAGGAAGAAATGACAATTACAATGTTAATTTTTAACTTTCACTCATCTTATAGATTTCAAACTCAGTAGAAGTCATGGTTTTGTTACCTTGTAGGGGGGCTAGGTTTATTCTTTCTATTCAGCAAAGAATCAAAGAACAGGACACAGAGATAGCAAGCAAGAGCAGGTTATTGCAAAAGCTACAGAGATAGACTTCTCCAAAGAGAAGGGGCACTAGAGCTGGGAATCTGGAGTTTTGGCCTGTTCTCTTTATGGTCTCCTCCCCTGTCCACACATTCCTATTAATGATAGTGCTCATTCTGTCCACGTGTCTGTTTTAGTTTTTTTTATTGGATTCCCTCCTTAGGAGCATGAGTACAGAGTGTTTGTCTGATTGGGTCTCCTGCTTAATGTCCATGAGTACTTTGTCACAGAGGAAGTTGACCTCATTAGAAGACCTTCTCCATGCTCCTTTGTTCTGGTCCTGTCCCTGACGTCCTCACTCGCCATCATTCCCTGGCTCCCTAAGCCCTTTTATATCTCCTTGTTTTAGGTAAAGCAGTTTTAAAATAACGCACTAGGAATTGTAAGTGAAAAGGCAAATGTTTTACACTGATTATGGGGTGACAGTCATTGTTCTATAGAAAATGGGAATAAGGTCTAAGATGTTAATGCAAGTTCCTGTAAGTACCTATTGGTTCAGGTCCATAGTAACCTATTATTCTTT